GTCATTCTTTTGCTCCAAACTCAGATTCTGACAACAATGCTCTCTCTGTGTTCCTATAAGATTACTCATACTACAGGAGGCCGCCTCAATATCTTAGATAGTTGCCCATCTCTCATAGATAACTGGGGAGGTGGTTTGTTAGGTGAGTCTTTGCAGTTCCTGAAATAGAGTGACTGAAGGTCTGGGGTTTATCTGTATACCTTCAACCCAGAAGCGGGATAAGACAGGTTAGGTAGGCAGAAACTCCTAAAATGATTAACATGCCTATGTAGCCAAGCCGGAGTCTGGCCAAACTAAAGAAGTTGGCGACACAAAGTGAAGGTGGAAATGCTGGGTGGGTGCTTTTACCTTGTGGCTCCAAGTGAGGAATCAGTGCTTTTAAAAGCAAGAACAGCTTCTAACTGCTTGATGTACATCTACCACCCAACAAATACCACCCCCATCTCCAGAACTGTTTTAATCTGCCAAATGTGAAAATCCATCCCCACTATTCTCCTTCCCATATTTGGCTTTTTCGGTTATAGATATGTCATAAACTGGGACCATTTAGTATTGGTCTTTTATTGTTTTACTTGTGTAAGGAATTCTCTTTTTTAATTAAAACATTATTTAGCAATATATTTGGTAACCAAATTAGTAAATTTGCTGTTGAAATTTGTAATCTTTTTTTGTTTTGTTTTTGTTTTTTGTTTTTGTTTTTCGAGACAGGGTTTCTCTGTTGCTTTGGAGGCTGTCCTGGAACTAGCTCTTGTAGACCAGGCTGGTCTCGAACTCACAGAGATCCACCAGCCTCTGCCTCCCGAGTGCTGGGATTAAAGGCGTGCACCGCCAACGCCCGGCGAAATTTGTAATCTTACTACATGGGATGTGTGTGGAGAACAGAATGTCCGTGATATAATTACAGTTTTATTGGATTGGTTTCTTAAGTTCTTGGTGGCTACAATTCTCAAAAGACCAAGGCATTAAACGTGTTAGTGAGCCGGGCGTTGGTGGCACACGCCTTTAATCCCAGCACTTGGGAGGCAGAGGCAGGCGGATCTATGTGAGTTCAAGGCCAGCGTGGTCTCCAGAGCGAGTGCCAGGACAGGTTCCAAAGCTACAGAGAGAAACCCTGTCTCAAAAAACCAAAAAAAGAAAAGAAAATGTGTTACTGCTTTTTTCAGTATCTCCACTCCATTTGGAATCAATTTATCAGTGTCCTGCAGGGAAGCTGTGTCCCTGTTGACTTGCCCATTGCCATGTGAATTTTGATTAGTCATTTAGTGATATATATTTGTATATATTTACAAATTTTATAAATAAAACAAGCTATGCTTCTTGGAGAACCTTATCTTGTTTCGTTTGCAAGCATAAGGGAAACTTAACTTGGAGCTGTTTCTTGTGTTATTAGAAAAAACAAAATGTAAACTGCACAGAGCATGAGTGCAGAGTGGCAAGTCTGGGAATAGTGTATTGAATCTCTTGCAGATGATATTCTTAGGAATTATTGACATGCAAACTCAGGTATCAAATATTACTGTTGCTTATTGCTAATGCTTGATAACACAGGCTTGGAATCCAGGGAACCACAATCTGAAACTATTAAGACGGCTAACATGATGTCACAGATGGGAAAATTTCCCCACCCGGAGATCCGTTCTGAACTGTGTAACTTGTACAAAAATATTATCAAGCAGTCAATTAGTTCTTAAGAATGTGAGTTACTGGTGAGGCCACCTCATGTACTTGTAGACAGTTCCCTCTCTACTTTTCTCTCATGTTGTAACACACACAGCTCAGAGGTCCTTGTCAGGACATGACATGGGCATCCTTCAGTCACCACATCATGAGCCAAATAAACTTCTTTATTTATGTTACTCAGTCTCAGATATTTTGTTATAACAGCCCAAAATGATCTGAGATATGAAGATATGAGAAGATGCTCAAATCCAGTGTTCATCTGGAAAATGTGAAATTAAGCAGCAATGCCATTCTGCACCTTAGTCACACACAAAGTATTACATTACATGTAGCATTAGCAAAGCCATGAAGATGATAGAATGCCCACTCAGTGCCAGGGGCCTGGGATAATCATTCTGGAGCAAATCTGGCAGTACAGGTCAAGCCAAACATCGAAACCTTTTACCCCATGAACTCCATGTCTAGATGTCCAAAAGAACTCTTCCTAATGATTGCATTCTTACCAGCATCCAAGGGGGCTTGGTGGAAGCATGTTAGAAGGCAAGAATACATCCATGGGAAAATACAGAGGGGGAAATACAAGGTGTACCACAAAAAAACAAGCCTTGGACAATGCCAAAATATGGACAGTGTATAGTGAAAAAAGAAGAAATAGGAATGGTTTGTATACTATTTAAGGTCCTCTAGAGAAACAGAACTGATACAATGAATACATGCACGCGCACGCGCACACACACACACACACACACACACACACACACACCACACACACACGACTTATTATTAGAGCAGCTTACAGGTAATGGTTCAACTAGTCCAACAATGGCTCTTTTCTGATGGAAAGTCCAAGAATCTAGTAGTTGTTCAGTCCACCAGGCTGGATGTCTCAGCTGGTTTTCAGTACATGCAGGAATGCTGAAAAGGTAGGTTCTATTACCAGCGAAGAAGTGAACTTAACTTAGCAGCTCTCTTAACTAGAGAGTGAGGGCAAACAGGCAAAGAGCAAGTGCTTCCTTCTTCCATGTTCTTTATATAGGTTACCATTAGATGTATGGATTTAGGGTGACTTTTCTAGCTCAAATAATTCATTCAAAAAAAAAAGAAAAAAAAAAAAGACCCTCCTAGGTGTACCTAGCCTCTTGGGCTTTAGGTAAGTCCAGATGTCAAATTGACAATCAACTTGTACATGGTATTTATGTAATCCAAAAATGCTCAATGCACACACAAAACAACAGCAAATTTTTCAAGAATGCACTCCAAAGAATATTGCATAAGGAGGTGCAGTCAGCTATCCATAATTTAGGACTCTTCTTTCTATTGAGATTAAATATATGTGATGTTGCCATTTATATGCAAACAACACTACTACAGCAGCCTCATCTCTACCAAAGCTATACAGCCCTGTTCATGTCCTAAACTATAGAACAAATACACACTAGTCACATCTAGAAAAAAATTTAAATTAGAAGTATGCATGTAAATACTAAGATGTTTTAGCTGAGTATAGAGGTACATGCTTTTAGTCACAGCACTCAGGAGTCATAGTAGGCAGAACTCTGTGAGTTCCAGACCAATTTGGTCTAGACTGAGTTCCAGGCCAGCCAGCCAGAGCTACAAAAGAAATGTGT